CTTCTCCCACCCCTTGCCCTGTTCCAACCCCATCCCTTTCAGGAGGAAACACTGGGATACTTTACAGTAAAGGACTGTGGGGAATAGAAAACACTAGTTGTTGAGAGGAAAGTGCAAGAATCTTTCCATTAAACAAATGGGGGCTAACCTGCCCCTCCCAACCCCCAGCATTATGGAGCCTCATAATTTATTTTATTTAGAGATTGATTTAAACCTTGAAACACGAGGTTCAATAACTCTTCTAAAATGGATGTTAGCACTCACTGCTCTACCTGTGGATATTTATTCTTTTATCCATACAAATCTTCAGTCCCTTTTTCAATCTCACTAAATTATCTCAGTGACATCCTGTAGCAGTGAGTTCCCCAGGCTAATTACCCACTATGTGAAAAAGCATTTCTCTTTATGCCAGTTTGGAATTTTCCACTTTTTAATTTCCTTGAATGGCCCCTTTTTTCTCATATCGTGAGTCAGGCAGAATAGAAACCCCTGATCTCCCGTCTCTAGGCAGATCTTTATTATATATGGAACTAGTTGTGCCACCTACATTTAAGTTTGCCCAGCAAGTCCCATTATAAGACCCAGTTTTAGTGACTTGCAACCTTGCCAAACTTTACCTTTTGGGCTGAAATTTTCCTTGATGAGTTTTTCCTTGATGAATCTCAGTTTCAGAAAAATGGTTTATCCATTTCTCAGAATGAGATTAGGGAAAAATAAATTTACCCCATTAAAAAAATCTTACAATAGTTTAATTGAGAAGTTCTAGCACCTCTAGCAACATGCTTTAATGCTATGTTCTCTGAAAAAATGAGTCCTATGTATCACAAAATTGGGCACCTAAAATTAGTGGATTCTTTTGATTTACTTTCTCTGTGTTTCAGTTCTCCATCTATAAAATGGGAATAATAACACCCCCTCAGATCACAGGGTGTTGTGAAAGTAGATCCGTTAATTATGAAGTGTTCAGAAACTCTAGCAACAAACAGCATACAAAATCTCAGGAGGAAATTAATAATTGTGTTTTCAGAGCAGGTTTTGAATAGAGTGCAGTAAATAAGGCCTGGGGCCACACACCGGACAGTGAGAGTAAGACAAAATATTGAGTGTTTGCAGTGAACACTGTCCATCCTGGGCAAGGAATAAGGCAGGGGTCCTGTAGCCAAAACCAAACTATCACAATAGATATGCAGAAAAGGACCCAAGGTTGTACTGGCAACCTTAATTCTGGTATTTCCTAACTTTTGACTTCACTGAACAGTGATCTTTTAATGGAGATTGTGTATGGAATTGTAAATATTATCATCATCTCCCCTGTTATTCATTTCATCCTTCTCTCCCCCCCATTCCAGACAGGCTTGTCCCTTCCTATAATCTTTACTGTCTCTTAAACACCTTCATGTATGTCCACCCCCAATATACCTCCACTCATCCCAACCTGTCCTCCATCCAGCTCAGCATCCTCACCAACTCTCCTCAACCCTCTCCAACCCAGTGCCTTCTGCTGAAATCCCCCCCGATTGAGAACTTCTCCTACCTAGCCTCCCCAAGTCAGCACCCTCCCTCCTGTCCTGGCCTCCCTCCAGGCTGACAAGCCCCCCTTCCCACCTGACCCGAGACGCATACTCCCCATAACTGCCTCAGGCTCAGAACCCCTCCCCTGCTCAGAACTCCTCCCACCTGACCCCCAGCTCTAAAAACTCACTTCCTACCAAACGTCCATTCCCAGAGCACTGAACTCTTGCCCCTCCAGCTGACCTCCAAGCTTCCAAGTCAGAAATCCCCCTCCCGGGCCAACCTCAAGCAGTAAAAAATCATGAGACAGGCTCCAAAAAAACCCCCTTGAGATCAGGATAAAAATAGATAAAAATAGTTTAAAAAGTGTAGGTTTTATTTGTTTTCTGGTTTCTGAGCATTTATGGTGCACTCCCCATTTTCAAGATTTTCTCTGAGTCATAGAAGGGACCACCCGATCGAGTCTCACCTCCTGTACCTCACGGGCCAGTAATCCCCACCCAATTACCCCTGTATTGAGCCCAGGAAATTGGCTTGGACTAAAGTATTGCAGCCCTCAGGAGGCTAAACTATTGTGAGGCACAGGCAGAGGACAGGAAGGACAAAGTGCACACGTGCCAGAGGCTACTGCAATGGCAGGGAACTGATTTCGTGAAATGTGCCCAGATGATCTTAGCAAACTCCCATGCTGCAGAGGAAAACAAACACCAAAAGTTACTGCCAATCTGATCTGGGGGCAAAATCCTTCACCCCACCAATCTTGGTCTCACCTGCAAACTTTATCAGCAGCAAATCCATGTTTCCTTCCAGAAAACTGATACAAATATTCAGTGAACAGAGCTGTAGAAGTTGATCTCTTTCAGTGGGTGCATGACATCCGTGGGCCCTTTACCTCCTTTAATTACTGCTAGTAACCGAGATGTATTTGTGTTTCTCTCCAGGGATGAAGTCAGGGATCCTCCTCTTCGGATTCTTGGTGACCCTGAGCCTGTGCCAGGCATCTGGATCTTCCATAAATGGTACTGTCCCCTTTCTCCTGCTGCTGATGCTCTGCATTGGGGGTATAATGCTTCGTGGTGGGATCCAAAGTCAAAACTCACTGTGGGCCCCACCCAGTCTATATAGGTTTGAAGTGTTCCCTCTCCCACCCAAAATAAAACATATGCCTGGGAAGTGTATAGTCCCTATGAATATCCAAGGTCTTCAGAGAACCTGATCATTATCCCCTTTTTACAGATGGGAAAACTGAGGCACAGAGAGGGTCAGGGCCGGCTCCAGGCACCAGCAAAGGAAGCAGGTGCTTGGGGTGTCCAATGGAAAAGGGCGGCACATCCGGGTTTTCAGCGGCAATTCGACGGCGGGTACTTCAGTCCCTCTTGGAGCGAAGGACCCACCGCCGAATTGCCGCCGAAGAGTGAAGCGGCGCGGTAGAGCTGCCGCCGAAGTGCCACCGATCACGGCTTTATCTTTTTTTTTCCTCCGCTTCGCCGCTGGGGCGGCAAAAGAGCTGGAGCCGGCCCTGGAGAGGGTAGATGCCTGCCTCCAGGACAAAAAGAGTCACATACAGTAGAACCAAGAACAGAACCCGGGTCTCCTAATGCACAGTCCACTAGTGTCCGAGTCCAGGGCCATGCTGACTCACTAGTGTCCTTTGTAGTAAAACAAAATGGATTGGCAATATAATCAAAAAAGGCTCCACATCCTAAAGGGGTTGCTTTTGCAGCCACACAATATCTCACACCCCTCCCTCAGGTTTTTCTTTTCGGCATTCGTTTGGGAAAGTTTTGGCAAAAACAGGGCAGCTCATTTTTTGACAATAAATCAATCACTGATTCCAGGCTTATTCTCTTGCAAAACTTCAGTTCTCAACTCATGGAGGCACTAGAGTTCTTCAAGGAAACAGCTGGAAAAAAAAGTTGGCAAAAGTTTATTCATAGAAACAGCTGAACTGTTTTGCTTAAACTTGCCAAAAATATTCAGCCTGAGGCAGAAAGCACTCCTGGAACGTTCCAGCCCCTGAAAGATGAAAGATTGGCCAAGTTATAACAGCGGAAAACAGGGTGTTATAATGGGAAGGCCTGGGCAACTTCAATAATAAGGGTCACCACCAATGTCCCCTACAATTAGACCTCAGCTGTAAAGATTTATGTGCATAAGTGTTTATGCACTGAAAAAATG